CCCCCCCCACCCGAGCTTCGCATCCATGGGTAGAGATCTCCGCTAAGGATAGAGTGATGCCTCAAGGAATTTGAGTAAATCTTAAAGTGATATCATCATTGCATTTAATAGTATAGTTAAAATTTCTCTTGGCCAATAAGTGGAGCTATTCTTGGAAAAAAATCAACACTGTTCGAACAAACTCTGTGACATCATTGAATTTATCTTAGTAAAGATCATTAAAAATTTCATAAGAGAAACACAAATTATAATCAATCACAAAAATAGAGGCAAGAGTATGCATAACTCAATTGAAATGAGAATAAAATTCATTCATTTCAAAAAAGGGTACAAGAAAAAATGAAAGAGAAAATACAACAAAGATTGAATAGTATACATCCTTCCTAAGAGGCATATAAATGGCATGTCCCAACATCATGTCAACTCAAAGACCTCTATTGACCTCCCAACGCTTGGCAACATTTAGGTTCCTTGACTTCTTGCAGCCGAGATGGACATCTTCTTCCTTGAACGCCTCATATTATTCTCCAGTTGACAATAACAAACTCTTCATCAGTCAACCTTCGTTGGGTAGGCAAACAGTGTCTGACCACCATCATTGTAATTTTCTCAAGCATGTTAAACAGAGTGTTGGAAAGTTAAAATCTAAAAGCATCTTGAGAGAGAGGTGACGAAGACTTTACATGGTATATAGGTCTAATTCCAGATATTCAATCTTCATTTGATATCAAAAATCAAACTTTCTTACCATTTGGACATAGATTTCCTTTACAATAGCTCATAATTCCTTGTGGCCATCAAAATAACAATTCAACTCAATCGGCTTAGTATCAACCACAAAGAATCCCTTCTCAAACCTTCAAAATGGGATTTCCATGGATCTCCATTTTTGTGCTAGAAGCACATATCTCACCATTGTGTTAATCAAGCTTTTAATATAAGCTGTCCATACTTGCAGAACTGAAGAAAGTTATTCAGTTGTACAATATGCTTCTATAGAAGACGCTTCTGCTTCTTAACCAGCAGAGCAAGAGTGTGGACATTCATGATCTTTGAGACTTAAGAGATCTAGCTTTTTTCTCTAAGCAATCCACACTAGCAGGTGAAGGAGCTAGACAAGGGGTTCAGAAAATACTACGTGATTCAATAAAATTTAGCTTAATGAAAATAATCCACTCAACAAATTCTGTAAAATCAAGAAGATCACTTAATCATATAAAATGCTTATATAGAAACTGAACAAATTCTATAAACTCAAGAAGATCACTTAATCATATAAAATTCTAATATAGAAAACTCATTTACTCCTTTACCAACAAAGCAAGACTGTGAAAGTTCATGCCTTCTATGACCACATCTTCAACAATGCTAGAGGCATAACCTCTTCTCTAAGCCATCCATACTTGCATTTGGATAAACTTTACAAGCTGCTACAGAAGGTTCTTCTACTCTTCACCAGCATAGCAAAGATGGGATGTCCATGCTTTCTACGACAATGTCTATGACAATGCTAAATAGAAGAGCAGAGGAGGCCCCTTGATCATCTTCATCATCGACTTTCTAGTCATCACCCTTCTTTGTGGGTTATTCTGATGCTAAGTGAAAAGATTTTCATAAATGGAAAATAAAATGCTTATAAATATCCTATTAAAAAGAATGAAGAAGCTTTGATTTTATTAGCATCTTCGAGAATAAAAAATTAAATCTTTGATATCCACTTCTGATACAAGCCCTTCTCTTCTTCAAAAGTTTTACAATCCAAATATACAAATTTACAGGTGCAGCACCTATGGATCAAAAACCAAGAACAGCAAGACAGAGGAAAAGAAGAAGATGAAACAGAAGTTTCTGTAATTCCAAAATGAAGAAATATCAAAAGTACTCTACCTCCCCCATAGCAAAGGAGCAGCGATGATGGTCCGTAGCTAACTAACTTGTGGGGGACCACTCCCCTCATAATAGGTAATTAAGAAGATAAAAATAACATAAGTGGTCTATTAGCAAATAACTAAGAAAATAAAGATAAGCAGCTATGTGTATCTTGGAGGTTCGTCCAGTTCTGGTATAGTTGCATCAGTTCTCTTTCATCTCAGAGGAACTCAACTCGAGTTCATAAATCCGCGTTATCCCTTCGTTAGGTGGATGATAAGCTTAGAGATTGGACACATTAAATGTAGATGAAATGTTGAGATCTGCGGAAAGTTTAAGAACATAAGCATTATAGTTGATGCATTTCCTAATAGGAAAAGGTCCAATCTTGCGGTGGTTTAAAATTTGAATATACTACTTGTGGGAAACAATCTCTGCAAAGTTGCACCATAACTAGATCACCTTCTTGAAAGATTTTTTGCCTTTGAGATTTATCAGGTTGTTGTTCGTAGTGTTGTTACAAAATTGTGATTTTATCTGACTTCTCGCAGCATAGATTCAAAATTGTTTAGTTATGTTTAGGCATTGCTGCTTTTTGGTTTTGAAATGACGGCAACATCCACTAAGTGGTTCGGTTCTTTGGAATTAACAAAGCTAAAAGGAGAGCGACCAGTGGAATGATTAACCAAAAATTAAAAACGAGTTTTGCTTTCCCCAAAAATTCTTCCTACTGTTTTTGTTAGCTGTCTGCAAGACAACATATTATGTTTTTGAAAGATCGATGACAACTTCAATTTGTCCATCCGTTTACGGTTGATTCGTTGAACTTAATCAGAGATCAGTCTTGAGTTGTTTGCACAATTTTCTCCAAAAATTGAAGTAATGCTCCTTAAAATGCCATGTAGGCATACAATCTCTTTAAAGAAGAGTTTAGCAACATTGGAAGCATCATAAGTTTTCTTACAAGCTATGAAACGAGCAACATTGAAAAATGGGTCAACAACTATCATGACGGAATCGGATCCTCGTTTGATGCGAGGTAGGCCCAAAATAAAGTCGATGCCAAGATCCTCCCAAATGGCATCTGGAATAGGTAATGGTAGGTAAAGACTAGTATTTTGACTCGCGCCATTATAATGTTGACACACAAAACACTTTTTCACAAACTTGCACACGTCTCTTCGCAATTTGGGCCAAAAAAATTTATATTGGAAAAGTTAGAGGTTTGATCCCTGCCGGCATGGACTGCCAATCCTCCTCTGTGATAATAATTCATCCAAACAACTGAGAAATCTTCATCATCATGGTATAAATATCGCAAACTTTCCATACCTGTGATGCTAGTTTGGACCGTGAACAATAAGCTTGCTCGGCGACTCAAAGTGTCAGCTACAAGATTGGTGTGATTGGCACGTTGTTTCACCACAAAACTAAATTTTTGCAAGAACATAACCCATTGTTTAAGCATTCGATTGAGATTTTTCTGCGATTGTGAGAATTGTAAGGGTTGATGGTCATTAAATATAACAAATTTCTGATGCAAAAAAGTAGTTCTCCCAAGTTTTTAATGCCTGAATAGCTGCATATAGTTCCTGCTCATATGTAGACCACCATTGGTGTGTCGTACTCAGCTTTTCACTAAAGAACTCCACCAGCTTTCCTTTATATGATAGACATGCGCCAATTCCTACCGTTGAAGCATCAGTTTCAACTTAGAAGGGCTTTGCAAAATCTGGAATACTAAGTATAGGAGCTGAACTTAAATGTTTTTCCGAATTTTGAAAGCTCTGTTATTGTTCTGGAACCCCAATGAAAATCTTTTTTTGTTTAAGACAATCAGTTAATGATGCAGCAATAGTATTAAAATTCCTTATAAAACGCCTGTAAAAATTGGCAAGTCCATGGAAACTACGGGCTTCCGTAATTGACTTGGGAGTTGGCCATGATTGAATAGCCACTACCTTTTTAGGATCCACCTTGTCACCTGCTTTCCGTTGAGGCAAACTCACTCTTCTCTAAATTCAGAAATAATTTAGGATTTCGGAGAGTGTTAAACAACGATTTTAAATGTCCTAAGTGTACTTTAAGTGACTTATTATACACAAGAATATCATCAAAATAGACGACACAGCACTGACCAAGAGATGTTTTCAAAACTTCGTGCATTAGCCTCATGAAAATACTTGGAGTGTTGCGCAAACCAAAAGGCATCACTAGTCATTTGTAGACCTTCCTTGGTTTTGACATTATCATTTTTCATTCATCACCCGGGCATCCCACTCCTCAAATCCAACTACGAGATGGCAGCTCCTGATACGGATCTGATGGTATCCACTCCTCAAATCCAACTACGAGATGGCAGCTCCTGCAAGTTTATCTAATAAATCTTCCATACGAGGTATTGGAAAGCAAAATTTTATCGTGATCTTATTGATGGTGCGGCTGTCGATACACATCCTACAGAAACCGTCTTTCTTGGGCACGATCAATTTTGGCTCCCCGCAAGGGCTCAAGCTATGGCGGATGAAGTTCTTCTGTAATAAATCTTCTATTATCTCTTGAATTATGATGTTCCTTGGGACTCCTGCAGCAATAAGCAATATTCGGTAAATTGGATCTCGGAATTAAATTAATGGGGTGTTGAATGGCTCGCAGAGGAGGTCTTGAACAGATGGAAGTAATTTATTTGACGCCGAATTTTGTTCGGCCATGAAAATGGCACAAGCCCCCTCATGTTTGGAGTAATCGATTAGACACTGGGAGCCTGAGACAACCATATATGCGGATTTGTTTGGTGTACAAGAAGTTGGAAAAGAAGTAGAAGGTAACAATCGAATATTCTTGTTATACCATTCAAAACTGTAGACATTCGAGTGCCCAACATACCAAACGCCCATGTTGAATTGCCAAGGTTACCCAAAATAAGATGACAAACATCCATCTCAATAACAGCACAATCAACATCGCAAATAAAATTCTTCCTAATAGAAAATGTCACTTTGCATAGTTCGGTCACTGTAACCTCAACTCCTTTTTTAATCCAACTAATTTTGTATGGCTTTGGATGCTTGATATTTTTTAGTTGGAGTGACTTTACAATTGATTTAGATACCACATTCTCTATATACCCACTGTCACCAATTAATTCACATACTTTAACTTCAATAGTGCATCTGGCTCAGAAAATAGTATTGTGTTGGGATTTCATAGTTTGTTTCGGAGCAAGTAGTACCTTATGTAGGATACAATTTAAGGTCTCCCCTTCATCTGCAGAAATCACTTCCACTTCATCTTCTTTGAATGGATTATAATCATGAAATTCATCATCACTATCACCTTCCCCTTCTGCAATTTGAATTTGCCTTCAGTTCGGACATTCATTAGATCGATGTCCAGGTTGGAAACATATGAAACACTTCATAGACCCCAGTCGCAGATATAAACTATCTTCATGAAACGCCAATTTGCCACTTGCTTTAGCATCTCCTCAACTAGATCCAACAACCAAATTGGGTGTAGGGGCAAAGATAGGTCGGTAGTTCTAAGAAGGTCCCTTACCACAATTTACGGATGATTTGGCAACAGTTTTTCGATGGCTAAAAAAACGTGGAGTTCGGTTTAACTGTAGTTCGGCCTTGTAAGTATTATTGACAGCTTGTGAAAGTGGCCAAAAAGTATTCATTTCAAATTTATCTTGTATTGTGTCTTTTAACACACCAATGTAACGAGTGACTATATGTTGATTACTCACGGAGATCATTATGACCACTAAGACGGTAAAATTCTTTTGTGTAAGCACTGACAGAACGATTTCCCTAGGTGCATCGTTGGAATAGAACATAGAGAATTTGCTCATAATTTGATGGTAACAAATGGTTGCGCAAATGCTGCTTCGTCCGAACCCAGCTTCTAATTGGTCTTCTTTCTTTTCTCAAGGGAGTTTGAACCACTTGTTGCCACCATGCGCATACACCTCCTTTCAAACGACAAGCAACATAGCGCACTAGTTTTTCAGGATGGACATCCATATACTCGAAGAATGCTTCCATTGTTTGCTCCCAATCCAAGTAGCCTTCAATATGGAGGTGTCCATCGAAATAAGGAATATCAATTTTAACCTTATAGTCATTGTAAAGATGATCCTGACCTTGGCGAATGCAAGTTGGATTTTCATCGAGCAGGTCGTCATCACTAGAATCGAAATCGGAGAAGCGGGAGGATTGCGATTGGAGTCGACCGCCGCCGATACAACCTTGTTCCAAACGCAGGGAAAGGTTGCTTTCCTGAATAGATTGACGACTATGATTCCCAATAGTGGTGTCCCCGGTCCATGGTGTGGGTGCCACAACAACTGGTGCGGTTGTCGGAAGGGGTTGTCGGAAGTGTCGATCCTCCATTGTCAATAAGCTGTAAACTCCCGCCACATTTCTATGACAAAGAGTTGGAATTCTCAAAAGAGCTGTAAACTCCCGCCACATACCTGCGATTCCCCTAAGAGTTCCCAGCTACGATCGCCATCACGTGCCGAGTTGTTGCCGCTGTCCGCCGTTCCTGAAGCTCTGATGCCAATCTGGTGCAACACCTATGGATCAAAAACCAAGAACAGCTAGACAAGGAAGAAAAGAAGAAGATGAAACTGAAGTTTTTGAAATTCCAAAATGAAGAAATATAAAAAGTGCTCTACCACCCATACTTCCACTCCCCTATAGCAAAGAAACAGCGATGATGGTCCGTAGCTAACTAACTTGAGGGAATCACTCCCCTCATTACAGTTAATTAAGAAAATAAAAATAACATATATGGTCTATTTGGAAATAACTAAGACAGAAAATAAAGATAAACAGCTATGCGTATCTGGGCGGTTCGCATCCATTTTTGGAACAGCTGCATCATTTACCATGCCCATTCTCTGTCTAAACAATAAAAAAAATAAAAATAATAATCTTTGATCTATGGCTTTAACTCATCCTTTATCTAACTCCAAAGTTTATGCATTCAAGGGCTCAACTTTAATAGCATGAGAGATAAAAGCAACAGAAATGTAAATTATGAATTCATCTTCCAAGCGCAGACAGTAAGTACAAATAACAGTACTCAGATGTCTCGGAGAACACTCAACATAGTAATTTGGAGATGTCTGCATCAATACCAAAAATTCAATTAAGTATCTGAAAGATTCCATACAATCTCGCTACACCCCCTGCAACCCATTGCATTCTTGCAGATTTTACTGGGTTACCAAACAACAAAAACGATGAATCTAAGCTAGCAACACGCACCTTCCTCTTGATCTCGTGGACCACAACCTGAGGATCTTCTATGTCGGGCATGAAAGATGAAGGGACGTGGCCAGCATCTCTGATAACCGCAATCGCATATGTAGTTAAGCACATGATCGCGAGCGCTGTAAAGATGGCGGCGTTCCCCAATCCCAACGCCGTTCTCAGCCCTAACCAATCCTCTATCACGCCGAATATAGTCATGTAGTAAACATACCCGATCAAGGCAAGCACCAAAATGATCGGCAGTGTCACGTATCTGGGCCTATTCAGCTCTAATCGGCCTCCACGCCCACCGGCCTCGGCCGTGGCGGCGTGTTCCCGATCCCGGCCCATATCTAGCTCAAGATGCCCCCGTTCCACGGATTAGGTGGCCAGAGGCATGGGAATAAAAGTAAGCAGCATTGGCGAGGGTTCCGGTGAGAAGAGCAAGAAGGATGATCGATTGGATTGGGTGGTAGGTCGCCGTCGATAACTGGTAGTTGGTGAGCTCGAGCCCAGATTCGGGTGAGAGAAGACGTTGACTCGAATCAGGGTAGGGCATTAAATGAACAATGCAGTGGATGAACAACTTTAACTCAATTTGACTAGGCTTGTTAAAATTTTGAATAATTTTTAAAAATTAGAAGTTTAAATAGATTGTACATGTATGAAATATGTTGTTTTTGTTGAGAAACAAATCTTCTCAAATAATTTATATTAAACTCAATAATAAATCGTATTTTATATATATATATATATATATATATA